ACATGCATATGATCAATGAATATTAGATTTCATATTACTGGACTGGTATAAATGATATGCTAAGGTGTATGCACGTGCAAAGTGTGCTATCATAGCTTAAATTGATAATTTCATCATAAAAATAGCAATTATCAGGTTCAATCAGGAGATTAGCCTCTATGTGTCCACAAACATGGATCAAATAGCTCACAACAGGGTTACCTTTATGAGAAACATCACATCATAAAGCTTAGAAATCAATTCAAGGCATATCACTAAGCACTACCTCGAGTATCGATAAATACCCAGAGCTCTCACATGGGCGCAACCCCGCATATATGCATCACCCACAGCACGTAGCTATCACAAATAACTCAGGAAACTAGTGCCTCAACCAAGTTTAGGTAAGATACTTATCTCAAGAAAGCCATATCAAATACCGAGCAAGCCAAACAATAATCCTAAAAAGCTATCCCATGTGGATCAACCTCTGAATGGATCGAAACGAACCAAAAGTAACTCAAAAACATCAAATAATTCCTTAGAAAACAAACCCAAGCGATAAAGGTCGAATCATTAATAAAAAACTCAAAATCAACCAAAAGATCAACCCCGAAGCACACTTCGGAACTCAAAAAAACTTACAAATTCTGACAACCCATTCGAATATGAGTCCAACCATACTAATTTCATTTAATTCCGACTCTGAAGCTATATTCAAAACCCAATTATTCTCTTTAGAAATTTGTTTTGATAAGAATCCATAATTCTCCAATAAAAATATGAATTAATTCATAAATGAACTAGTTTAACCATGTTATAATACTAAAATTGAGGTTATATACTGACCCCCATTAAAATACGAGATAAACGCCGCAAATATCACCTCAATCGGCTCTCTAGAACTCAAGATATGCTCAAAATACTAAATGAACGCTGTCTGATTTTTTTATACATAGGGATTTTCGCTTTTGTGTCCAAAATTCTGCACTTGTAGTCTTCCAGCTGTCATTTTCGCATTTGTAGATCAATTTTAGCACATGCGGATCCCACTTCACATCTGTGAAGCACCAGTAACAACTAACTTTTCTGACACTATAATGGGCATAACTCCCTCATACGATGTCCAAATTCGACGAGCCCTTTTGCTATGGCTCCTATGATACAGATCTAACGCTTCTACAAAAATAGAATTTGGATATCATTTGCNTGGCTCCGTAATTATGATGCAGATCTAATGCTTCTACAAAAATAGAATTTGGATCTCATTTGATTAATGTGGTACCATATATTCTTGAAGAAACGACGTTGAAACATAAAAAATGAATGCAACACAACCCAAACCTATCTGAAACTCACCCAAGCCCCTCGAGACCCCGTCCGAACATACCAAAAAGTTACAAAACATAATACAGACCTGCTTGAGGCCTCAAATCTCACATAACAATATCAAAACTATGAATTGTACCTCAAATCAAATTTAATAAACTTTTGAACTTTCAACTTCCAAAACTTGTGCCGAACCATAACAAATCAACTCGGAATGACCTCAAATTTTGTACACAAGTACTAAATGATATAAGAAACCTATCCAAACTCCCATAAACACAATCCAAACTCGATAGCATTGAAGTCAACTCTCGGTCAAACTTATGAGCTTTCCAAACCTTCAAATTGCCAACTTTTGCTAATTAGCGTCAAAGCCTTCTAGAAACATCCAAATCCAAAATCATCATCTAGACCTAATGGAACAATAAAAATCCAATCCGAGGTCAAATACACAAAATCCAAACTTGGTCAACTTCGCGAACTTTAAGCTTCCTATTTTGGAATCATTCTTCTAAATCAATTCTGAACAACTCCAAAACCAAAACCGAAGATACACGAAAGTCATAATACACCACACAAAGCTATTCATGAACTCGAACCACCAAACTAAATGCAAATGCTCAATACGACGGTCGGATCGTTATATTCTCTCCCGCTTAAACATACGTTTGTCCTCGAACGTGCTAAAGGTCGTTCCAAAGCCATCAAATCTGAGTACTGATGGCTGAGTACTGATAGGGTCATTTCTATACTACAAAATCTTGCTTGGTCCCAAAACATGGACTAGGCAGAGAAATCATGTTTTAAAAATAGGCTTTAAAAAGTAAGTACCAAAGCTTATAGCCTCACTTTGCTTGCTAATGACAAGTTCCCAAACTTTGAAACCTCTAGAACAATCAAATAGCTTCAATTTATGTAAAATATTAATTAATAATATCAATTATACTAGTCAGGGTCAAATCTCAATCTCACTAAGTTTCAAGCTTAAGCTAACAACAAAAACAACAACAAATCTAGTTTGATCCCAATAGGAGAGGTCTGGGGAAGGTAGTCTGTACGCAGACCTTACCCCTACCTAATGCAGGTAGAGAGGCTATTTCCAATAGACCCTCGGCTCAGGAAGGGCAAGAAGAGGAAGAGGAAAGCAAGGAAGGAAGAAAGATGTAAGAGAAAAGAAAAGGGAGAGATAAAGGATAAGTAGTACCAAATAATAGCAACAGAGAATACAATACTTGAGGTGAACAAAACCACATAACGTAATAAAAAATCTAAGCATATGAAGAGACATGCATGCTACTAAGACTATCGGTGAACAACTACAAACTACCTACTAACCTTCTACCTTAATCCTCGACCTCCACACCCTCCTATCAAGGGTCATGTCCTCAGTGAGCTGAAGCAGTGCCATGTCCTGCCTAATCACCTCTCCCCAGTACTTATTAGGCCTACCTCAACCTCTTCTCAAACTCTCCATGGCCAACCTCTCATACCTCCTGACAGGAGCATCAATGCTTCTTCTCTTAACATGTCCGAATCATCTCAGCCTTGACTCCCGCATCTTGGCCTCCACGGAGGCTACTCCCACTATATCCTGGATAGCTTCATTCTTAATTCTGCACTTGTAGTCTTCCAGGTGTCATTTTTGCATTTGTAGATCAATTTTAGCACACCACTTCACATCTGTGAAGCACCAGCAACAACTAACTTTTCTGACACTATAATGGGCATAACTCCCTCATACGATGTCCAAATTCGACGAGCCCTTTTGCTATGGCTCCGTAATTATGATGCAGATCTAATGCTTCTACAAAAATAGAATTTGGATCTCATTTGATTAATGTGGTACCATATATTCTTGAAGAAACGACGTTGAAACATAAAAAATGAATGCAACACAACCCAAACCTATCTGAAACTCACCCAAGCCCCTCGAGACCCCGTCCGAACATACCAAAAAGTTACAAAACATAATACAGACCTGCTTGAGGCCTCAAATCTCACATAACAATATCAAAACTATGAATTGTACCTCAAATCAAATTTAATAAACTTTTGAACTTTCAACTTCCAAAACTTGTGCCGAACCATAACAAATCAACTCGGAATGACCTCAAATTTTGTACACAAGTACTAAATGACATAAGAAACCTATCCAAACTCCCATAAACACAATCCAAACCCGATATCATTGAAGTAAACTCTCGGTCAAACTTATGAGCTTTCCAAACCTTCAAATTGCCAACTTTTGCTAATTAGCGTCAAAACCTTCTAGAAACATCCAAATCCAAAATCATCATCTAGACCTAATGGAACAAAAAAAATCCAATCCGAGGTCAAATACACAAAATCCAAACTTGGTCAACTCCGCAAACTTTAAGCTTCCTATTTTGGAATCATTCTTCTAAATCAATTCTGAACAACTCCAAAACCAAAACCAAAGATACACGAAAGTCATAATACACCACACAAAGCTATTCATGAACTCGAACCACCAAACTAAATGCAAATGCTCAATACGACGATCGGATCGTTATATTCTCTCCCACTTAAACATACGTTTGTCCTCGAACGTGCTAAAGGTCGTTCCAAAGCCATCAAATCTGAGTACTGATAGGGTTATTTCTATACTACAAAATCTTGCTTAGTCCCAAAACATGGACTAGGAAGAGAAATCATGTTTTAAAAATAGGCTTTAAAAAGTAAGTACCGAAGCTTATAGCCTCACTTTGCTTGCTAATGACAAGTTCCCAAACTTTGAAACCTCTAGAACAATCAAATAGCTTCAATTTATGTAAAATATTAATTAACAATATCAATTATACTAGTCAGGGTCAAATCTCAATCTCACTAAGTTTCAAGCTTAAGCTAACAACAAAAACAACAACAAATCTAGTTTGATCCCAATAGGAGGGGTCTGGGGAAGGTAGTCTGTACGCAGACCTTACCCCTACCTAATGCAGGTAGAGAGGCTATTTCCAATAGACCCTCGGCTCAGGAAGGGCAAGAAGAGGAAGAGGAAAGCAAGGAAGGAAGAAAGATGTAAGAGAAAAGAAAAGGGAGAGATAAAGGATAAGTAGTACCAAATAATAGCAATAGAGAATACAATACTTGAGGTGAACAAAACCACATAACGTAATAAAAAATCTAAGCATATGAAAAGACATGCATGCTACTAAGACTATCGGTGAACAACTACAAACTACCTACTAACCTTCTACCTTAATCCTCGACCTCCACACCCTCCTATCAAGGGTCATGTCCTCAGTGAGCTGAAGCAGTGCCATATCCTGCCTAATCACCTCTCCCCAGTACTTATTAGGCCTACCTCAACATCTTCTCAAACTCTCCATGGCCAACCTCTCATACCTCCTGACAGGAGCATCAATGCTTCTTCTCTTAACATGTCCGAATCATCTCAGCCTTGACTCCCGCATCTTGGCCTCCACGGAGGATACTCCCACTCTATCCTGGATAGCTTCATTCTTAATCCTATCTCTCCTGGTACACCCACATATCCATCTCAACATCCTCATCTCTGCTACTCACATCTTCTGCACGTGGAAGTTCTTGACTTGCCAACACTCAACCCCATACAACATAGAAGGTCGAACCACCACTCGATAAAACTTAGCCTTAAGTCTTAGCGGCACATTCCTATCACACAAAACACCCGAAGCGAGCCTCCACTTCATCTATCCCACTCCGATGCGATATGCGACATCTTCGTCAATCTCCCTGTTACTCTGAATAATAGACCCGAGATACTTAAAACTCGCTCTCTTGGGGATAACTTGAGCTTCAAGCTTAACCTCTACGTCTGTATTATGGGTCCCGTCACTGAATTTGCACTCCAAGTATTCTGTCCTCAGTTTGAAACTTTTAGACTCCAAGGTCTGTCTCCAAACCTCCAACTTCGTGTTAACTCCACTACGCATCTCGTCAATCAATACTATATCATAGGCAAATAGCATGCACCAAGGCACCTCCCCTTGGATGTGACCCGACAGTACATCCATCGCCAAGGAAAATAAAAATGCTAAGAGCCGATCCCTGGTGTAACCCCATCACCACGGGGAAATATTAAGCTAAATTTTAATATTTTACACCATAATAAAAATATATCCGAACATTTTAATCTAAATGCAATATTCAATTACAATTCCTTAGGCCTTTGGACTTGGGCCATTAGGAAAAATATATTTATGGGTCTAGCCCATTTCTTTATCATTATTTATTATCCCAGTTATTTCATTATCCATTTTAATATGTATAATAGTAAATTAGGCCTACTAACTATTTAAATAAATTTTGAAACTCATAATTTAATAAGTATGTTTAAAATTTCCTATTATTACATCTGACGCTCGACAAGTATCCAATGATCCGCTAACACCTATTCATGTATAGCTCATGCATATACATAACAAGGCAATGGAAAGAGATATGGTACCGTAAGAATGTGTACGACAAAATAGAGATTTAAACATGAATCATTTTATCTTGCCTATTAAATGAAATGCATGTAATAGAGGCATCAGTAGCATATACACTCATCACATCAAATATAGGTCACCCTCAAATGCATAGCATTTATCATATATTTACTTTTTAGAAACTATTCCCTCAAGTCGAGGTTAAGCAAGACATTTACCTTCTTCGGGTTAGTCTTCAACCTCAAGTTACGCTTTTTCCTTAATTCTTGACCTCCAATTAATCAAAAACTAGCCAAATATCATTTATGAAAGTCAAACAATGCTAAAGGAAGCAATCTCAATCTATAAAGTTTTAATCTTTGAAGAAATTCTAAAAAGCCAACAAAAGTCAATCCAGACCCACATGGGCAAACCCGAATCCAGGGTCAGATTTCGTCGACTCATAACCTCATGAGTCCAAATATCTTATTAGCTACAAATCCAAGTCCAAATTGGCACTTAAAACCTTAATATATACTTTTCATCTTTCAAACCAAAACCCTACTTTCTTCCTTAAGATTCTTGTGAGTCAGAGCCAAAATCAATAATAGATTCATGCTATAATCATAGATTTGAGTGAAATCACTTACCCCATCATGATAGGTAAAAAGCGCCTCAATTAGAGCTCCATAGCTCCCAAAATGATAATAAAGTCCAAGTACAAAATGAGATTGTTTATAGCAAAAGTCAAAAACTACTGAACTTTTGGCCTAACAGCTCGTGACACACGTGGTACTATACGAGGTATCTTTGTTGCAAGTTGCTGGTTTGCTGGTTTTGCTTAAAACCAATCCCAAACATGCCAGGATCCCACACGAGCAGCCCAGGATCCCTCTTAAACATCCCAACTAGTATGTATAACCTATACGAATGTGTTGAAGGGCTCAAAACACGTTCAACAACATCACACGTAAGAATCAATTGTCAAACTAACAATATGAACTTTCTTAAGTTTCTCAAGTACCATGTTTTTGCAAGATATGTCTGAATCATACCTGAGCCCCTCAGGTCACCCCAAACCATTCCAACAAGCCCAAATAACATGTACAGACCTATCTAAAAGCTCAAAATATGAATTGAAGTGCAATAACATAAGTCAAAATTGGATTAAAGTTAACTATTAAGTTCTTCAAATCGCTAACTTTCAACTTAACATGTCGAATCAACCTGAGTTACCCGAGACCCGAACCATATATATGTAGAAATTCATAATCATCATACAAACCTATTGGAACCTTCAAATCCTGATTTGAGTCCATTTACCTAAAATGTTGACTTTGGTTAACTCTTTCAACTTAAGGGCTCTAGTTAGGAACTAAGTGTTCCGAATTACTCTCGAACCTCTCAGAACTCAAGCCAACCATACATGCAAGTCATAGAACATCAATGTAACCTAATCAAGGTCTGAAATCACAAAATAAAATATTAGGACTCAAAAAAACCGGTTGGGTCGTCACATGCATGTCAAACTGCCAACACTCACCGCTTTTCTACTCAAGGCATATGCCATCATATTTGCGTTACTCGGATGATACAAGATAGTGATATCATAATCCTTAAGAAACTCAAATAATTTTCACTATCTCAAATTCAAATTCTTCTGCTTGAACAAGTGTTGGAGATTATGATGATCAATATATATCTCACATGACACACTCTACAAGTAATGCCTCCATATTTTGAGTGCATACATAATGGACGCCAACTCTATATCATGAACTAGGTAATTCCTCTCATGAGGATTCAACTATCATGACACATAAGCAATCACTCTACCATCCTGTATCGGTACACCACCAAAACCAATGCATGAAGCATCACAGTACACTATGTAATACCCTGAACCTGTGAACAATGCCAACACTTGGGTTGTAGTCAAATCATTCTTGAACTATCTCCTTAAATTCATCAGACTATCTAAAAGGAACACCTTTCTGAGTCAACTTAGGTAATTGAGCTGTTATGGATGATAATCCCTCACCAAAACGGTGGCAATTGCCTGCCAAATCCAAGAAATTTCAAATCTCGGTAGTTGTAGCGGGTCTAGGTCAATTCTAAACAGTCTTTTCTTCTTAGGATCAACCTTAATACCATCACTAGATACCACGTGGCCTAAGAATGCTTGAGTCTATCCAAAACTCACACTTCAAGAACATAACATAAAGATTCTATTTTCTCAAAATTTGAAACACAATCCTTAAATAATGATCATGCTCCTCCCTGTTATGGAGTAAATCAAGATATCATTAATGAACGCAATAACAAAAAAATCTAAATAAGGCTAGAATAACATATTCATCAAGTCCATGAATGATGCAAGGGCATTAGTCCATCCAAATGACACCACCAAGAACTCATAATGACCATAACGAGTTCTAATGACTTAGGAATATTTGAAACCCTAATATTAACCTGATGATAATTCGATCTAAAATCAATATTAGAGAACATCCTAACACCTTGAAGTTGATCAAACAAATTATGAATATGAGGTAATGAATACTTGCTCTTGACGGTAACTTTATTCAACTGCCTATAACCAATGCACATCATTATAGTACCATTCTTCTTCGTTACAAATAATATTGGTGCCCCCAAGAAAAAACACTTGATCTAATAAGTCCCTTATCAAACAAATCTTGAAATTGCTCCTTCAACTCTTTCAACTCAGGTGGAGCCATACAATATAGTGAGATATAGGCTGAGTGCCTGATACCAATCAATATCCATATCCAATGGTATACCCGATAGATCCGTAGAAAACATATCTAAAAAAACCTCTCACCACTGACACTGAATTTATGGAGGGAATCAATGCACTAGTATTCGGAATAAAAGCCAAATATGCCAAATATGTAGAATTCAGATCAAATAACGCTGAATCATCACTATGACAGATTGAAATAGTACCTGTAATGACTGCATCAAATTCCACTGCCTCATTCCTACCCTAAAAAGAATTAGCAACGAGCCTGACCTCCACCTAAGTTTCCTCCACCTCTACCGCAACTCTACCACCTGGCTTCCAACTCTAGTTAGCAGAGTAGGCCGTGTAGAAATTGGAGTTGGAATCATAAACTTGAGTACCCTGATAAGGCATACTACTCTACAATCAAGTGAAATTCTTCTTAACGTGCTCCAAGTCTTTACACTCAAAATAACCCCTAGATAAAATAAGCTACTAGGACTAATAGCATGTTTGGCCAAGCTGAAAAAATTAGCTTATTTTGAGAAGCGCCTTTTTGAAAAGTGCTTTTTGAAAAAGTACTTTTGGAGAAATTAGTTTGTGTTTGGCTAATGATTTTGAAAAATACTTTTGAACAATAATTTGTGTTTGACCAAGCTTTTCAAAAAGTGCTTTTAAATGTCAAACTACAAATAAGGACATAAAGAGATTTGCCTAGTAGTTAATATTATATAAGTAGATAAATAATTATAAATATTTATTACTCCCTCCATTACAATTTATGTGAACCTGTTTGACTGGGCACAAAGTTTAAGAAAAAATAAAGACTTTTGAAATTTGTGGTCCTAAACAAGTAAAAAAGGAGCCTTGAGTATTTGTGTGGTTATAAAAGCTTCTCATTAAGGGTAGAATTGTAAGTTTAAGCTAAATTATTTCCAAATTTAGAAAGGGGTCATTCTTTTTGGAACGGACCAAAAAGGAAATAGGTTCACATAAATTGAAACGGAGGGAGTATTAAAGATAATAATTAAGTTTTTAATTTTATTCAAGTAAAATATAAAAATAAAATTGAAAAGTACTTTATTCTTTCAAGATAATTTAAATATATCAATAAATCATTTACTAAATATGAAAGTTCATCCCAAAAGTCATTTTATATTACTTAATACTTTAAACTAAGTAATGTTATTCTGGTGTATATAATATTTTGCAATGAGTATTTTTGGTAGGAAGAAAAATCAAAACTGCTTTTGCTTCTGGGGAGAAGTTATTTTTTTCTACTTCTTCAAAACTGCGTCTACTTCTAGCCAAAAGCACTTTTTTCCCTAAAAAAAACTTGGTCAAACACCTCAAATTAAGGAAAAAGCACTTTTTAAATATAAAAAAGCACTTTTGGCTTGGGAAGAAGCTTGGCCAAATAGGCTATAAGTCTGCCCTTGGCGACCAGAATAACCACTGAAAGAACCATGCCTTAGAGACGTACTATAGAGCAATTTTCCTGAATGAGTAACATATGAACCATGGCTGACAGGAGCATCACGAGAGTCTGAAATGATGAATGAACTGGTCTACTAGAATGATCTCTCTCATAAGAACCCTTGCCTTTATACTCCGCACTCCTAACTATACCAGTATTGTGAGACTTCTTAGCCTCTTGGTCCTCTCTACCTTGCCTCGGTATACGCTTAATCATCTATGTTATCTCCATGGCTTGACCAAAGGTAGTCCCTTTCTCAGTCTCTCGCAATACTAAGATTAATAATTAAGCCCATCAATGAATCTCATGACCTCTTTAGTCTCGATGTGGATCAGAAAAACTGCATCGCAAGATTACTTAATAAATCATATCTTATACTTT